TTACATGTGGTAGGGGGATCCTATCATCTGGCTATAGGGCAATGCCTAATTATCATATAGAAAAAACCTGGGGGCAGTTTATTACAGGTAACTATGCCAAAGGTCATGTTCCAAATAAGGCCAGGCATCTGTGCTTGGAGGCACTTTCCAGATAAATCAGGCAGGAAGCCCCTGCTGAGAAAGGAGGGTTCCCCAACAGATGTGGGGAAAGGGGAACGCTCATCCACTGCTGATGGGACTGCAAACTTGTTCAACCCTTATGGAAAGCAGTATGGAGAACTCTGAGAAAACTACAAATGAAGCCAGGCCTGGTGGCGCATGCCTTTAATCCCAGCACTCAGGAGGCAGAGGAAGGTAGATCTCTATGAGTTCAAGGCCAGCCTGGTCTACATAGTGAGTTCCAGGACAGCTGGGGCTACAGGGGAGACCCTGTCTCAAAAAGGAAAAAAAAAAAAAAAAAAGAAAGAAAGAAAGAAAAGAATCTCGTGTTTAAGTCAACTTTAACTCATTTTACTTAATAGGCTACATTTGGGGTTTGGGGGAAGAAGGTAAAAAGAACTTTGGGTTTCTACAAGATCTAAACACTAAATAAGATTCAAGTATTTCATGTTCACTCTGGTTGGAAAAAAATAACCTCCACCTTTACAGCAGCTGGTCCTTCACATCATTCCAGACATGTCCATGTGTACTAGTTCTTCGGGGTTTTGTTTTTTTTTTTGCACCCTATATTTTGACATTATAAGTATCTTACCAATGGGGCCAAACATAATGGCTTATGCCTTTAATCCCAGCACTTGGGATCTTTGTGAGATCAAGGCCAGCCAACCTGGTCTATATAGTGAGCTCCAGGCCAGCTGGAGCTACAGGGAGACTGTCTCAAAAGACCAAAAGAAAAAAAAAGGAAAAAAGAGGAAACACTGCCTTTCTCCTAGCTAATTACTAAAGACAGTAAAAATCTTGGAATCACGCCACTGAAGACAAGCCAACTGTCCACTTTAACTCACATACCAAAAAATTGTCACTCAGTCACCTCTATAAATTAAAATCTCAAGGGTACAACCCACCACACCCATCTTTTTTTTTTTTTTTTTTTTGAGATAGGGTCTCACTCTGTAGCCCTGGCTGGCCTGGAGCCCACTATGTAGACAAGCTGGCCTTAAATTCATAGATTCACTAGCCTCTGCCACCACAGCCTTAACACTTTGTCCAACTGGAAACCAAACTACAAGCTAAGGTTCCCAAACCCAATTGAAAGTAGCATCTAATTTCTTCATACAGAAAAACCTCTTGGAAGTCCTATGCCATTTCAAATTCAACATTCAGAACTAGGGCTTAGGATGTATGTAGCTCTGGGAAGTGTGCTTGGTCCATCCAGAACACTGTCAAACATCAGAATAAAATTCAGTGTTACCTGGCAATTCCAATCCTAGTACACAAAAAGACACATATGAATGTACACAGCAACATTATTTTATAATAGCCAAAAAGTGGAAACGCCCAATTTCATACACTGATAAGCAAAATGTAGTATATACAACTGATTATTCCGTCATAAAAATAAATGAAGTATTGATTCATCCTATAACATGGATGATCCTTAAAAACATGCTTAATAAGCCAAACATAAGTCACACATTTTCTGATCCCATTTAGATAAAATACACAAAACGAGAAACAATTAGTAACTGCCGGGGAATGGAATAAGAAGTGACCGCTAATGGGAACAGCAGTTTCTATGTGAGATTATAAAATGTTCTGAATTCGATAGCAACGATAGTTGCACAAGCTTCTGAATAAACCAAGATCTACTGGAGCGCACACTTTAAAATGTGAATTTTAAACACGTGAATTGTATCAAAGAAAATTAAGCGTATTACCCTCTCTCCAACCTATTCCTTCACATTATCTAGGTGTTATTTCAGTGACTGGATCACATTCTGTAAACCTGCTCAGGCGAGAAACCCGCAAGGGGTCATCAGGTCACAATTCTGTCTCCGTACTGCGTCCCTCCACCTAATTCAGGCACCATCCCTCTCATCCAGGCAACCCCTGGACCAGAGCTTTGCCTCTCCCATCCCTTCAACTGCCCTCGACGCCCAGAGGGGACGCCACCGCGTTCACCATGCGCTCCCTCACCCCGACGCTCCGCAGCACCGTAGCGTTCAACATGCGAGCGTGCGCCTCGCAGCCCGCGAATCCACGCTTCCAGCTCGCCCAGCGTCACGCAGTCCGGAAACGCTCGGCGCCGTAGAGGAAGTCGGAAAGGCGACACACCGCCAGTCGGCTCCGCGCGCGCCTGCGCACTTCTCACTCTCCGCTGGGGCGCCTCGGGGCGCAGGCGCAGCTCAGAGGTCTTGGCTGAGAAGGTGCCTTCCGGGCGCCGGAGGTAGGAGGAGGTGGCCATCCGGCTGGGTGGCACCAGGGAGGAGGGCCTGTCACCTATGCTCAGGCCCGCGCCTGTCTAGCCCGCTGCGCCGCCCGCCCCGCGATCTCGCCAGGCCGGCCACTGAGGCGTTTGAGCTGCGCTCGGTGGACCGGGCCGTGCCGGCCAGGAGGGAGGAAGGGACTGTGTCAGGACCCCGGGCCAGCGCAGAGATCGGAACCTTCCTTCTGTCTTTAGGCCGTCATAGTCCTTGAGAGCTTTTCTCGAGGCAGTTCCCTTCCGTGGGTCACCGGGTAGGGGATGCCGGAGGGTCCGCCCAGCCCGGATCCATTCATTCCCTCTCCGCCTGCCGGGAGCAGGCGGGCAGGTACGACGTTGAGGTGGCAGGAATCCCCTACCCTCTGGAAGCTTTCAGCCTGGTAGGAACCGTTTATGTCGTTAGCAGCTATTGATGGAGCTCTTAAGGAGAGAAACCGTCTTACGACTCTATTTAACAGAGATGTGGGGGCTCAACACTGTAATGAAGTATGGAACTTGCATATCCAATAGGATAAAATTCAGTTCACTTTAGCCTAATGTTCCAGGCCCTTGTGAACTGATCTCCCTCTACCTGCAAACCTCCTTTGCACCATTTTCTCTTCACTCCGACTGTATCAAACTCTGCAGTTCATGAATTCAACAGATTGTTGCTTAGCATTTATTAAAAGTCAGGTACCAGATCAGCCAAAGAGAATACAAAGCATGCTGAACTTCACTGGGGACGAATAAGTCAAAGAATAAAATAATAGGAGCTGATATTCTGGAATCACACTGCCTTGGTTTGATCTTTACCTTGCCATTTCAAAACTGTCTGATGTGAGCCAGTTACTTACTGTACTTGTGTCTGGGATCTTGCTGTAAAGAAAAGATGACAATGGATTGTATTGCATGAGTTTGCTGTAAGGGTTAAATGAGTTAAATATTTGAAAAGCTAGCTGGGTGAGATGGAACCTACCTTGAGTCCCAATACTCAGGAGGCAGGTAGATCTCTATAGTTCAAGGCTAGTCTGTATACTAAATTCCAGACCAGTCAGGGTTACATAGTGAGATCACCTCAAAAAAAGAAAGAAAAGAAAAGAAAAAAGGTTTGTGTTGTTTTTTTTTGGAAAAAGCAGTTGAAATAGTATCTGGCACACACGCATTCAGTAAATTGTCATGCACTGCATATGATTATAGGCAGTGATAGATCCCACTGTAGCAACCATGTGTGATTATAAAGAATGAGGCGAGCCAGGCTCATGGAAAGGATTAGGGGGAACTTCTCAAAGAAGGTGATTTCCTTATTGTATTTGAATTGAATTTCTGTCATTGGATTATCCAGGGGTTTTGTGTGTCATGGATGTGTGTGTGATGTGCAGATGTATGAACCTGTGCACACCTGTGTGGAGACCAATGGAGAATGTGGGGTCATGCTCTATCACGCTCCACCTTATCCCCTTGAGACAGTCTTACTAAAACTGGAACTTTCCACTGTCTGAGTAGGCTGGCTGACCATCAAGTCCCAGAAATCCTGCTGTCTCCAGCTCCCTTTCCTTGCAGCACTGGGGTTATAAGAAGGTTCTTCCACACCCTGGCTTTTTTGTGTGGGTGCTTGAGGTCTCAGTTCAGGTCCTCATGCTTGTCCAAGCACTCTTATCCATTGAGCCATTTCCCCAGCCCTGTATAATTCAGTTTTTATTGTTGGACCCTACTACATTGTGTGCCTTTGTAAATACTCATGCCCATAAGGTCCAACCTTTACCATCCCCTGGGTGGTGTTCTGGTCATCTGAGTTTGGAGAACTCTTGTGGGCTGAAAACAGAGGAAGGTGGCCTTTTCTCTCTCCTGGATGCTCAGGAACATATCCTTTGTCTCTTTATTTCAGTCATGTTGCAGCATTTGCTGACAGCCCCTATCCTCTGATAAAGTCAATAGCTGGGGGAATCTCAGACCAGTGCTGGGAGATAAACTCTCTGTATTTGGGTAACATCTATGTGGTAGCTACTTTCATGGGGTTTTTCCTCCAGATTTCAGTAAAACATATCCCAAGATGCATTTTTCTACCTATAGAAGAATGTGCTTTGACAGGCTTCTAGATATCTTCCCCTCTATGTTGGGATGTACCCTGGGACAATTAAACTTCAAACCAGGTGTATTTTGGAGACTCTCCCCGTGCCCTACATGCTCTTTATTCCTTCCTAGAGGAAATAGTATGAAATAACAATAGCTATCTAATTTTCTTTTGGTTTTCCACAGATGTGAAATTAAATAAATCTATTCCCTTTATTACCACGGAGATCTTAGAGAATTACCTGAGCATCAAGTTCACATGTGTCATATTTCACAGGCTGCTGTTGGACAACAAAATATTCTCTCACTTCTGAACATTAACAGGAGTTTTTAAACATGTTGTTTAACTACAGGTCCAGTTTGAAGAAGGATATTTAAGTCATTACAGAGAGGAAAACAGTATTTTGTTCTCAGTTGTACAAAGTCTCCAAGTAAGTCAGAGAAAAATAAAGAACCCTGGTGAAACTTGGAGTGCAGGTGAGGTCCGATTAGGCTTATCACAGGTTTCTCATCTGTGGATATGCTCCCAAATCAGTCCTCTTCCTCCTGAATGCCAGCCTGAAAACCAGCAGGTCAAATGATGGATGAGTCAGATGATGATTTCAAAGATCTCTGTGCCAGCTTTTTCCAAAGGGTAAAAAAAAATGCCACCAAGGAAGTGTCAGGAGAAAGGAAGACACAAAAGGCCTCCAACAGTACTCAAAAAAGAAACAAACTGAAAAAGCCTGATCAAGTTGCTACCAGGAGCAACTTGATACTTCAAGATCCCTCAGAGAAGAAGCCTCGATCGGGCAGCCAGGCCCCTAGGACTAAAAAGCAAGCTGCAACCAAATCCAGAAAAGGAGAACTGGCTGTCTCTGAGAATGGAGAGGGAGGTGTGCTTGTTCCTGCTGCAGATCAGCCTGTGTTGTGTGAAAAAGCACCAAGCATTCAGACAGGTAACCAGAGAGGACCTATGCCAGCTCTTTCCAGAGAGGGAACCAAAGTGATTTGTACTGTTTTTAAATCAGGGTTCAGAAAACTTTTCTATAAAAGGCCAGAGAGTAAATATTTTGACTTTATTTTGACATATAGTTTGTGTTGCAACTCTTGTTAACCCTGTCTATCTGTAGGTTCCAAACTGCATATTCAACCAATGTCAGATAGAAAATATTTTAGAAAAGAAATTTTCTGTACTTACTACGTACAGACTTTTTTCTTGTTTTTATTCCCCAAACAATACAGCAGCTATTTATACAGCATTTACTTTGTATTAGATATTATAATAACCTACAGCTGACTTAAAACACATGGGATGTGCATAGGTTATATGCAAATAGTATACATATAGAAGGGACCCAAACATCTGCAGATTTGGGTATTGTCAGGGAGCCCTAGACTGATCTCTCCTGGACTCAAAGGGGCAACTGTACCTGACGCTTCTGTAGTGCGAAAGCAGCCATAGGCAATGTGGCAGCGAATGGGTGTGGCCTTGTGCCAATAAAACTTCCTTTACAAAAAAAACAAGCAGTCATAGGACCATAGTTTGCCCAGTCTACAGTAGTCATAAAAACAGTAGTCATAAACAAAAATAACCTCTGTGAGTTTTCTGTAGGAGTATGTTTAGAACTCTTTGTTCTTGGTTTCCTATGAATGTTCACAGTACATAGTTGAAGGGAGTTGTATCAACATAAAAATAAGGGTGCCGTTAGTATTTTTGTGAATTCATTCTAAAATAGATAAGTTGGAATGGGCCAGTCAATTTGGTTAGGCTGAGAAGGCTTTCAGAGGGTGCACTGTAGGTTTAAGTTTTCTGCCTTGGTGCCCTCGGCATGCTCAGCCATATGAACTGAAAACCAACCTTGTTTGTATGATGTACACTTTAGGCTCCTGATTTCTGTTTCTAAATTTTCCTCACCTTCACTTCCTGATCTCAAGACGCCATTGTTTTCTAGTGTGGGTAACAGAGTCTCTCAGGAGTGGTGGTGAAATCTTAGCTCCCAGAGACTGCTGAAGCCTCAGTATGCTGTCAAGATGCTATGAGCACTTCCTGCTCCCTCTGTGCATCTGATGAAAGCTCTGCATGATTCGCACATGAATTCTTTTGACTTTGACACACAGCTTCAGGAGTTTGTGGATCTCTACTGAAGACCATCTCTGGACCTCAAGTTAAAGGGGAATTGGTCTAGAATGAGATAAACATTTGCCATTAATATTTCTTTAATAATAGCTTTATTGAGATGATATTCCTATCCATAAACTTGGCTCTTAAAGTGTACAGTTCAGTGGGTTTTAATGTATTCAGAGTTGTGTAACCACCACCATGAAAATGCTTGAGAGCATTTTCACCACTGCCAAAGTGAACCTCAAGCTCATCAGCAGTTACTGCACCTAGTATCTTCCTGCCGCAGTGAGGTTATGAATAGGTTTTATTCACAGAGTTAGGTCAAGACTAACTCATTGGTAAAGGACATCTTGGAAATTTGGGTCTAACTGGTATCTAGTAGGAAAGTCTTTAATTTCTCCAGCTAGAACAAACACTGTATATTTTCCTCCTTGCCAGAGAGTGTTCCCAATGGCAACTCCCAACCCTCTCCATCCTGCCTCACTATGACTCCTGTGCCAAGTCCCTCCAAACCCCGAGCCTCAGAGCTGGTTCTCCAACGGATGCAGCAGTTCAAGAGAGCAGACCCTGAGCGCTTGAGACATGTTTCAGAAGAGTCCTCCCTTAAGACCACCCTGGAAGAAAATGTTCCAAAGACCCCTCAAGAGAAGATGGTTCTGGGAAATGGTATGAGCAGAATGTTCTTTCAAAGATAAATTACAATACTTTAAAAAGTGAGGCAGAGGGAACCCCTGTTCACTTAGTTTTTGCTGTGGATGGGCTTTCTGTCTGGTGTTTTATCTTTGCCACCTCATTGGGTCTAGCCAGAATGGAAGGTCCCTTGGTCATTTCTTTTTTTTAATACTTATTATTTTTAACTATGTGTTATGTGTATATGTGCATATGAGTACAGGTGCCTGTGGAGGCCAGAAGAAGATGTCATATCCCCTGAACTGGAGTTATAGGCAGTTGTCAGTTGTGACTCATGTGATACAGCTCCTGGGAACTGAACTCAGGTCCTCTGCAAGAACAGTACACACTCTTTAACTACTGAGCCATCTCTCTAGCCCCTATTCCTTTTTCTTTTCCAAGATTCTTTTGTTTTTGTTGTTGTTGATTTTGGAGACAGAGTCTCCCTGTAGCCCCAGCTGACCTGGAACTCACTATGTAGACCAGGCTGGCCTCAGTCTCACAGAAATCCTCCTCCCTCTGCCTCCCGAGTGCTAGGATTAAAGGTGTGTACCACCAGGCCAGCTTGCCCCTAGTTTCTTACTGGATTTCCTTGACCTGGTCTTTCTCTCCCCTCCTGCTCCACTCCCCCTACCCTGTACGACACACACACTTATCTTTTTGTTATAAAATTATTCCTTTACAGAACAGATTGTTTGTTTGTTTTACTACAATAGGAGCTGGGGAGATGGCTCAGTGCTAAAGTGCTTTCCATGCAAGTATGAGGACCTGAATTCAGTTGCTCAGCACCTGCAGATGGGCATGATGGTGTGTACCTATAATCCTAGCACTGGGGAGGTGGAGACAGGAAGATCCCTAGAACTGGCTAGTCAGCTAGTCCTGCCTAATCAATGAGCTGAGAGACCCTGTATCAAAAAATGAGGTGGAAAGCAATAGAGAAAGACACCCAAAATTGACCTCTGATCACATGTGCATACCTTATCCTGCACATACATGTGCATATACACATACATCACATACACAAAAATCTACAAGGAATCTTCCTGTATGCCCTCCACCTGGGTTTAACAGTTAACATTTTGTCATGTTTTTTTATATATATATATAATATATAAATATATCTATACACACACTTTTTGTAAGTTTTTACTTTTTTTTGTTTGAGACATTCTCACTGTGTATCCCTGACTGGCCTGGAGTTCACTATGTAGACCAGGCTGGTCTGGAACTCACAGTGATCCCTCTGCCTTTGCCTCCCGAGTGCTGAGATTAAAGGTGTGTGCCACCACACCCAGCAGTTTTTCACATCTTTTTTTTTATTATTTTACATGTATGTGTGATTGCCTGCATGTAGGTAAGTGCACCCATATCATGCAATGCTTGCGAGGACAGAAGAGGCCATCGGATCCCCTGGAACTGGAGTTACGGATAGTTGTTAGCTGCCATGTGGGTGCTGGGATTTGAACCCAGGTCTTCTGTAAGAACAACCAGTGTTCTTAACCATTGAGCCATCTCTCTAGCCCCAGTTTTTCACATCTTAATTGGATTTCTGATTGTAGAATTTGGACCCAAAATGGTTCCAAATGCTTCTGTCATATATATTTTTGTGTCCCTATAAGTATGTATATTTTTCTTATACATTGTTGACATTCCATCCTTAGATTCTCCTGCATAGGTGCAATTCCATCATCATCCTTAATTTGCCTGATACCCAGGCAGTCACACTTCCCAGTTGTCTAAGGATGTAGACTGGTTTTCTCTTTTTGAACAAAGCTCACACACTGCATATTTCTTTAGCTCCAGTAATCTTTTGCGGGGAGTGAGGGGTTTAGACAGGGTCTTGCTATGTAGCCCTGATTGGCCTGGAACTCACTATATAGACCAGGCTTGTCTTGAACTCATGGTCAGTCCTGCTTCTGTCCCCAAGTACTGGTATTATGGGCATGCACCATCATACCCAGCTCTTCAATATTCTCTTTAGGTTAGATTGTAGAATAGTCCAATGATTTTTTTTAACTTTTTGAGACTCCACACTAATTTAATTAGCTGGTAAGATTTCCCAGATGCTGAATTTTCTTGATCATTTTTTTCATGACATCATTTCGCCCCTCCCTCTTGCCCTTGTATTGTGGATATACTGTAAGTAAATTGGAGGTCTGACCAGCTCCAGGTTAGTTTGACAATCACACTTCAAAAGGGCAGTGAATTTTGTATTCCTCAGCAAGAGCCACACACCTTTAATCCTAGCACTCAGAGGCAAAGGCAGGTGGATGTCTGTGAGATCCAGGCCAGCCTGGTCTACACAGTGAGTTCCAGGCTAGCTGAGGCTACCGGGAGACCCTGCCTCAAAACAACAAAAAAGATTCAGCAAGAGACCTGCCTCAGTAAATAAAGTGGAAGGCAATCAAGGAAGATACCCAGTGTTAACCATTGGCCTCCACATGCACACATGTGCCCACACACTTGCAAACACATACACTATACATGCATACATGTGTAAAAAAGGAAAAGAATAGAAAGAAATCCTAGTGCTGCATCTGAAGCTAATTAATAGTGGGATCTCTGATTATTGCATTTGCTGATTTTACTTTGAGCCCCCAAGGATTCTCAGGCTGCCCCACAGGCCCACAACATGTAGTAATTGGACATCCACCATGGCATCAGTCCTTATGGCATGTGGGGCAGAAGGGGAGCAGAGGAGCCCCTCAGCCAGTGCTGAGCATAGCATCCTACATTTGACTAAGTCATCCTCTACATATTAGTAGCATGTGCAACTAATGCATAGGAAGGGGTATACTAGCTCTTCGTCTAGAAAAAAAAGAAGGGACGGGGTTATGGCTGTGATTTGGTGATAGAGTTTATCATGTATGAGTTCCTGGATTTGATCCCCAATACCAGAAAAGAAATAAAGCACCAAAATGAAGATGTGCTGTTTTGGGGTTTTTTTTGTTTGTTTGTTTCTTGGCTTATTACAGGAGAGGTAGACTGAAGTGCTATTCTGGCTAGGCAGTGCCTTTGTCAACAGGTTTGCAGAACAGTTTCGGTTTCTTTGTGTTCTGCCTGGTGTCCATGCTGCAAGAGCGATAGACAGGATAGAGAGGTAGGGGCATTGGAGCCTGTCGTTATACATCTTGGATGCCTTTCCACAGGGTATAAGCCCAAGCTCCCTGCCACAGACAGCGATGCTGCTGTGGCCTTGGCCCTGCAACAGGAATTCGGACAGGAAGGAGCATCTGCACCTGATGACAGCCTGGAGGAGAAGGGGTTGTTCTTCTGCCAAATGTGTCAGAAAAACCTCTCAGCAATGAATGTGACTCGGAGGGAGCAACATGTGAACAGGTAGAAGAGCAAGGGTTGTCCCCTTTCTCATGTCAGGGACCCAAATCCAGGGTATCCTATGGCTCTTTGCATGGCAGTAGCACCTCAGTGTCATTAACATACACTTTTCTCTAAGTAGCTCACTAAGATATACTTCTCATAATACATTTCACCCATTTAAAGTGCACTAGTTATTGGCTTTTGGCATGTGTCATCACCATCAATTTTGGATCATTTTTGTCACCTCCAAAGAGAACATCCTTACCCCTTGGCAGTCACTCCCTGTTGCTCCCTTTCTCGCTCCCCTGACAACTACTTATCAGCTTTCTGCCTCTGTGGATATTTATTCATATAAATGGAATCACACAATACCTGTCCTTTTGGTCGGTCCTTCATTTAATGTTTTCAGAGACTGGAGAAATGGCTCAGCAGTTAAGAGCACTGGCTGCTCTTACAGAGGTCCCAGGTTCGGTGCCCAGCAACCACATTGTGGCTAATAGCCTTCTGTAATTCCAGTTCCAGGGGATCTGATGCCTTCTTCTGGCCTCTTCAGGCATTGGACACCCAGGTGCATTTACATATGTGCAGGCAAAACACTCATATACATAAAATAAAATAATAAATTTTTTAAAATTTAAAACAATGTTCATCTATGGGCATGTATCAGTCCACTGTATAGACAGAATACATATTTATCCTTTCATCCGTAGAAATTTAGGTTGTTTCCACTTGGTGGGTTTTGTAGTAGATCTGCTGTGAACATGTGCCTTGTTGAATATATGTTTCGTTTGAACAATATTATTTTCAGTTCTTTGGGGCTTATGCTTGGGAATGGAATTGCTGGATTGTAAGGTAATTCTTAATTTGTCCTTGCTTTCTTTAGCCACGTTTCCTAACATACAACCTAAATTTAGTGTCTAGGGCTGAATACCAGGAGACGTGCAGATAGTGTAAGTGGATCAGCTTTGGGGAAAACATGTTTATTTACATGTAGAGGTGAATTCAGCATTTGCTATAATACATGTTACTTGAGAGGGTTGTTCTTTTGTATTTGCTGACTTCCTCCAGATGCCTAGATGAGGCAGAAAAGGCACTGAGACCTGCCATGCCTCAAATCCCTGATTGCCCAATTTGTGGTAAACCATTCCTCACCACCAAGAGCCGAATCAGTCACTTGAAGCAGTGTGCAGTGAAGATGGAAGTGGGGCCCCAACTCCTGCTTCAGGCTGTGCGGCTGCAGACAGCCCAGCCCAAGGAGGGCAGCAGCCCTCAGGCACCCAGGTAAGATAAATGAAAGGAATCAAATAATGGTGTTTGTACTTGATTTATACTTTCTAAAAGAGATTTTTATAGTGATGGAGAGTACTAGATCCCTCTTAGGTTCTGGAATGAAATTTTTGAGGAGGAAATTGGGCACAGTCCAGAAAGGATTACAGAGAGCATAGGTTCCCATGATGTGGGGCTCTCTGTTCTGAGAGCCATTGATGGTCCCTTGAGATCCTTCCTGAGATGTTTCTGGTCCTATAATCCTGTAGTAGTCCCTCTAGAGCATCTGTGAATTTGGTGTTTGCTTTACTTCCATGTCTTGGTTGCACACCTTGTTTCTTAGTGTTACTCCATTTTCATACTATTAATGTTAAATTATCCAGCACAGTTCAAAGCATTGATTTAGTACAACTATAGCACTATATTTTTTTCTTTTTAAAATATACAATATTTTGGGGCTGGAGAGATGGCTCAGTGGTTAAGAGCACTGACTATTCTTTCAGAGGACCCAGGTTTGATTTCCAGCACCCACATGGCAGCTACGAACTGTCCTTTACTCCAGTTCCAGGGGAATCTGAAGCCCTCTTCTGACCTCCGTGGCATTGCATGACACGGGTACACTCACATACATGCAGGCAATACACTCATAGACAAAATAAAAACAATAAATAATGGGTTTTTTTTTCTCTTTTTGAGACAGAGTCTCCCTGTAGCCCCAGCTGTCCTGGAACTCACTATGTAGACCAGGCTGGCCTCGAACTCACAGAGATCCTCCTGCCTTTGCCTCCTGAGTGTTGGTATTAAAGGCGTGCACCACCATGCTCAGCTAAATAAAATATTTTAAAAAATAATAATAATAAATGTGGAAAGTAATTGAAGAAGACAACTGACATCAACCTCTAGCCTCCACATATACATACATGAATGTATACACATACACACACACACACACACATGCATGCACATAATAATAATAAATAAAGTGTTTAAAAAATATATTTTTTTTATTACTCTTTGAGAATTTCATACAATATTTTGATCATATTTACCCCCCCCCACTCTTCCCCTAACTAGGACTGTTTTTTTATTGCATGCATTAATGCTTATGTATTAAAATAGGAGGCTCCCCCAACAGCTGGGAAGCAGTTCTTGGCATGCAAACTCTAGGCATGAACACGTCAGAGGGTCAGTTCTGCTCACACTGCCCCTGCTGCTGAGTACATCCAAGTTGAGCCCAACTTTACAGGGAACAAAGGCAGCATGGGCCCCAGTCTTCTCTAGGTTTGAGACCTTTGACAGCTGACGAGAACTGTTTCCCCTAGCCACTGCCTTGCACAGGGGTTGTGGACAGCTGGGCTGAGCCATAGCTGAGATCACAGAGGGCAGAAGGCCAGAGATCCTTTCTATATTTAGTACCCCCAAACTAGCATTATAGGACAAGAAGCCTTGAGAGCTTAAAAATAGACATTGTCTAAACTATTCCTTGCCTCTCGATTAAATATATCTACTTTAAAAATAGATGTACATGGGTCTTCCTAGAAGGCTGGTGAGTAGAAAGTTATGAGAACTGGAAGCACTTAGGGACTTTGAGACTTCCTTAAGAGGACTTTGAATTTTTCCTCTACTCAGGGCAAGCCCAGGCATTTGGACTCTAGAGTATTGAGTTTCATGGCCATAACACACACACATACACACACACACACACACACACACACACACACACACACACACACACACACACACACACTGGTCTGAGTATCTTCTTGCCCTCTGTACCCCTTACTTGGTTTCATCAAGCTCATTCCCTGCCTGTGGCCCAAGATTCAGCTTCATTGCTGCTGTTCACACTTGGTACCTGGCTACTGGGTGGCTCCCCTCTTGCCTGTGGTTATCATGGAGATTCCCAGGAAGCTGGAGTTGAGCTAGGGATTGTTTACATCTTCCAAGCCCACACTTGAGAATCTCCAGCTTTCCCTATCCAAGGGAGAACTTGAGCTTTTGCAAAAGCCTGAGGTGTGGCGGCAACTTCAGGGCAGGCTGAGTGGGTCTGTGCTCTTGGAGTTGCTTCTTCCTGCTTGCCCAGCTGAAGGAGCTCATGTAGACAGAGGATGTTCTCTCCGGCCAAAGATATCTGCACACCAGACTCCCCTAAAGCACAGACAGGTCAGCTTCTGGGGCACCTGACTGGTGGCTGCAGGAGCTGGGTGGCCTTTCCTTTGGACCTTGGGTAGAGGTTTTACTGTGAGCCCCCTAAAGGAGGGGAAGGATGCTTTATGGCTAGTGTGGCCAGGACTGTCTCAAGGGCATCTGAATTTTTGGTGGGCTAGACTTGTTGGCTACAGAGAGCCAACTTGGAGCTATAGATTCTACTGGGTTTGTTTGGCCACATCTATGTGTACAGGTACCACTGATGGCCAAGAAGACCCTAGGCTCTCCTATGTGTAAATCATGCTGAATTTCTGGTTTAGGGATTGATGAGCTCATGAGGAACAGAATCAGCACAGTGGGACACATGGATTCCTTTTGTCTCCTGCAAGAGGAACAGGCCCAGTGTCCAGAAGTCCTTACTGACCTTTCTCTATGACTCCCTTTTAACCTCAGCAACCACATTGGAGGTTTGAAACGGAAAGGAGCCACCAACAAGAAGGAGCCACAAAAGAGGCGGAAGGTCAACAGGCCTGAGGCTCCATCTGAGGACATGCTGGTGGCCATGGCTCTCTCTCGCTCTGAGATGGAACAGTGTCCAGCTGTGCCCACACTCAGCCTAGAAAGTGCTTTTTCTGAGAAGATAAAGCTAGGAGCAGGTATGTGTGGCTGGAGCAGAGGCCTGGGGAGATCTCAGTACTCTTTTGCTGGCTGACAGTTGTTAACACAGGCAGCTTTCAGGATGAGTGGCCAGATCCACTTCTGACTGTGCCACTTTTGTTTACCTCTAGAGAAGAAAAGTCGCAAGAAGAAACCCCTGGTTTGCCCCCCACAATTGTTAGTCCAAGACTCTGAGACCACAGGTAGACAGATTGAAGATCGTGTTGCCCAGCTCCTGTCAGAGGAAATGGAGCTGTCCAGCACCCCACCACTTCCTGCCAGCAGGATTTTCAAAGAAGAATTGGAAGAGGCAACCTGGCGTCTGCAGCTGCCCAAAGGAAAGCAGAACTTTCTGTGGGAGGGCAGTGCCCTCACAGGAGCCTGGGCTGAGGAGTCCTTCTACACAATGGGCCTGGTTCCTCCAATCATGCCCCGAAAGCCTACCAAGGTGAGCCCTGTTCCTCCTGTCACACATGTTAATGGATGGGCTTTGGAGGAGGGTGGGTAGTTCTAGAAATGCAGCCAGATACCAGGGCTGGTTAAGAGAAAGTCCAAGAAGTAGAGTAGTAAGTAGGCAACAGGAGCATTGTCTGTAGCTCATTTCTCTTTGTACTAACTAAATGGCTCTCTTGCTAAGAAAAAAGAGGACTTGGGTTCCCCAAATTTAGTGCATTCCTGGAGAATTGGTTTGAAATGCAAAGTCCAGGCCAACCTCCAGGGTGGCTGCTAAAATCTGTCTGAGATGGGGCCTGGGAACCTGCATTTTAAATATACATTCCAGACAGTTCTGCTAAAGGTGGTCCTGAGTCAGTACTCACCAACCTGTAGCCATTTAAATGACGTTAATGGACTACAGGCTCCTGGGGACCCTTCTGACAATCAGGTAAGCTGCAGACTTAGAGGCCTCAGGCAGGCCTGAGTTGTGACAGAAGCCTGCCAACTCAGTAATAGGGGAAGCTTGCTGGGGCTACTCCTGCCTGTGACTGGCCACCCTTGAAGGCAGCCCTGTCCTGTCTGATTCGAGGTCTATCTGTGTATGAGTAGGGTGACAATGACCATACAGCTTTCCAACTTGTTTCAGGAACCTGAGCTACCACTGGCATTGCCCAAGCAGCTAGAGCCAGGTATACAAAGGCCACCTGCTCACCACAGCAACCCTCCTATGGGCCATAGCCCCAGGAACCAGTTGCTGTCCTCCAGCCAGAGGGAGCATCAAGCCCTGCAGGACCTTGTAGACTTGGCAGAGGAGGGGCTGAGTGCCAGCTCATGGCCCAGTAGTTTGGGAGTACCCACAGGTAAGGCACTGGGTGGGGCATTGGGCCTGCCCTGTCCAATCTAAGGTGGTGGGGGCGACTAGACCATGTGCTGCTATAAGGCTCTGTGGCTCAGTGGCTCATCTCAATTCAATGGAGAATATAGCCTTGAGGTGCTTTTGTGTTTTTCTTCAGAGGTGAATAGGATGTGGAACATTTATGTCTCATGATTTCCCGTAAACTTTAAAGACAGCTGCCTGTCCTAATTTTGTCCATTACTGTCCTTCTATATTCTTATTGGGGAGCTGTGTAAAATAACTGGGGTGGGGGGGGCTTGTTTAAATGAAGATGTCCTCAAATAACGTAGGTCTAACTAAGCCTATGGTTGATATTGGCTGTTTGGGTGGCAACCTTGCCAGGAGGTAACATCCTTTTAATCTACACATCCTTCTCTCAGGGTTGGATTTGGTACCTAACAGCCCTCCACTCACTGGGTTCATCCTGCCATCCAAGGAGAAGCCCCTCAAGAAGGGTGGCCATGCTTCGGTAAGAATAGAGACTTCTGTGCCACAAGTTAACTTGTCAGCTCTGCCATGGCTCTGTGGTCTTGGCCATCCTTATTTGAACCCCCTGACCTTCCCAGATGGCTGGCACATCTAGGCAGTCGTTGATTGGAGACAACTGAGAGGCAGAGGCCTCTTGGGCCACTGCCACAAAATCTTCTGTTCTTTCTGTCCTTGGATGCTGTAGAGCTGATCCCCAGAGCCAGCTTTGCCCTGGAGCTCAGAGGAATCATTGCTTCCCTGAGTGACTGCTTCATCAGCATCTCCTCTGCATGCTTGTTTCTTGGTGATTTCCTTGATTCATTAGGGACTCATTGTGCCTTCCTCTGTATATGGGTCATGATCTGGGTTCCAGCTAATAATCCAGTATCCTATGTTGGAACTGAATGGCATTGGAAACTGGGTGTTCTACAGAGTAGATGTCATTCCTGTGAAGTACCATTTTAGAGATGTTCCTGGACATAGCTGGGAAGTAGCAGATCCCTGAACAACTCAGGCTCAGAGTCCTAGTCCATTGCATCAGGCTACTCTAAGAACTAGGTACACCATTGTGCACACACAGCATTTAGCTATTAGGATGTCTTTGTTACAGTTCACTCGCCGTCCTTCATTCCATAAGTCAGGGAACACACTGTAATAGAGAACTGAGAAAGAAATTAGCATTTGCTCTTCTGGATCACTAAGGTCTTCATATGGGCACATTCTGGATAGGAGTACAGGTTCTGGCTCTTGGTATACCCTAGTGCTCCCTCTCGTGGGTCAGTTAGAGAAACAGTGATGGAGAGAGATGACAACTCTCTTTTCCTCCTCTCATTGCAGCTCTCCCTTGGGTTGCTGGCAGCTGACTTTGGGGCCATGGTCAATAACCCACACCTGAGTGATGTCCAGTTCCAGACCGACAGTGGGACAGTGTTTTATGCTCACAAGTTTGTTCTTTATGCCCGATGTCCACTTCTCATTCAGTATGTAAGTACACGGGGTTCCAGTTGTCTAGCACCTCTCCCTCCCTTTTTGTCTAGGTTTCCTCTCTCCTCCATAAAGGATGGCATTTGCATCATAATAAAGTCGCCTCATCAGTCTGTCTCTGTCTCTGTTCTCTCTCTTTCTCTCCCTCCTCCCCCCTTCCCCCTCCTCTCCCTCTCCTCTCCCCCCTCTCCCCCTTCCCTCTCTCTGACTTACTTTGTAGCCCGGCTAGCTGGGACTCATAGTGATCCTCTTGCCTCCATCTCCTAAGTGCTGAGATCGGTTTAAGCCACCATACCTGGCTCTATATTTTTCTTCTGTTTGTACCTTCAAGGTTGAATTAGTGTTCTGACATGTTTTGACATGTCAGTGAACTGTTTAGTCGCTTGTCAGAAAGTTCTAGACACAGGGGTGTCCAGTCTTTTAATATTATGATATCATATTATGATATGTATTGGGCCATATTCATAGCTAACCTGGGACTTTTGCAGCCCATAGGTCACAGACTAGATATATCAAGTAGAAACTAACCAGTTCCTTAAATGCCCAGCCTATAGAATTTTGACCAAGAAAATGCACAAGACTGGCCCCCATTTTTTCTAGGGTCTGGGGCTCTTGAAGAAGCTACAGAGTCTCAGACATCACAAACCATTGTTCACTCCAAATTTTGACTGTTCAGTTAGTAAGCCTTCTGTATTTTCTTCTTCAGGTAAACTCTGATGGCTTCTCTGCAGTAGAGGATGGAGATCTGACTCAGCGCATCCTGCTGAATGATGTGAGCCCTGAGGCTGCCCATGCTTTCCTGAACTATCTCTACATGGCGGACACTGACCTGCCTCCCAGCCTGGCTCCTGACCTGCGCTCCCTGGCCCTCAGGTTGGGATTGTTATTTCCATGCACTCCACAGCCTTTGAGAGTTAGTGACATGCATTGGCAGATTGATAGCTCAGAGGGTTGTGCTGCCAAAAGATCAGGGCTAAAGTCATCAAAACTTCAAGTCTTGTTTATACCTTCTAATCTGTAGTTTCTATCAGCGATGACCCTGAGTGAGGCATGGTAATGGGCAAAATTGAACACTTTCAGGGGTGCCAAGAGTATGGGGTAGAAACCCACTGGGCATGGTAAGAGGGTAGACCATGGCCTCAGCACCCTTACACACTGCAGCTCCTTGATTGCCCACACCCTCTCTCCACCACTCACGCCACGAGCGTTACCTAACATCAGCTGGTATTATCCCTCCTGATAAGGCTTAAACACCTTTGGGGTAAAACCTCATTCATCCCAGGCTATATCACTCTTCAGGTGCCTTTCTAGAAAAGGAACAGCTCAGCAATGAAGGTTTGAGATGCACTGACTAGGTTCAGAGCCTTCTGATAGGTAGCCAACTGGCCTGCCAACCGTTTGTCTACTGTCGTTTGTCTCAGGCACAGTGTCTCTCCCTGCATGACTCTTGGGGAAGCATGTGCTGCCTGATTTTGTAGCCCCATGAGCTCCTGGGATCTCCAACTCAGCATGACTCACCCCCACTTTGTCTGTAACAAAGTGCTCTCTAGAGCTAGTTCCTGGACAGGAGCAAGGGGAAAGGCCACAAGTGAGTCACATCCTTGTTCTTCATGAAGACTGCTCTGGCTGCCAGACCCAGCTGCTGGACCGGTGCCTCCATGCAGAGCAGTGATAATATACAGTGTTTCCTATTGCAGGTTTGGAGTGCACGACCTTGTTCATCTGTGTGAACAGGTGCCTGTTATGACAGACCTGGAAGGAGAGCTGCAGGAGGAGAAGGAAGATAAGAATTGTGAAAGCAGAGCAGAGAATTTCCAAGAACTCTTGAGGTCAATGTGGGTAGATGAAGAGGAGGAAGCAGAGACTTTGTTGAAATCTGAGGTCTGTGAAGAAGACAGAGAAAAAGTGAATGAAGCAGAAATGGAAGAAATTTATGAATTTGCAGCTACTCAGCGGAAGCTGCTCCAGGGGGAAAGAGCAGCAAACTCAGACAACAACACTGGCAGGGTTAGGGATGTCAATCCAGTTGCTTGGCCTACCCTGGCAGATGTCCAGGGTAATGGACAGTTGGAAAAGGCAGAGAAAATGGAGTCATCTAAGCTAGGAAAAAAAGAGACCCTAACCAGCTGGGAAAATACAAGATATTCCTTTCTGCTACTCCATGGCCAGTGCTCAGATAGGGCAGGGGAGGTGGAGACCAAAGAGCAACAGGCTCCAAGGGAGGCAGGTAGCCACCCCAGCTCCTGCAGCCCTTCTGGAAGCCCACGGGTAAGGAGTAAAGAAGGATCTCTTTTGTACCCAGTCAAGACCCATGATTACAAACAGCTCTTTGTATCAACTCAAAGAGAATTCTCTGAACTGTCCCAAATAACAGTGGATCACAAACAGCTAAGTGACACTGTCAAGGAGAGGCAGGTAGAGAAATCCCACTCCTCCTCTCCAGAGGAGATACTTCCTTCATGCCCCCACTTCCTCCTGTCACAGTCCCCTACAGATGCAAGTCCCAGCCAGTCATGGCATCACCTTTATTCCACAAGTGATTTATCCCCATCTGTGTCCCAGTCACACAGTGGCATTTCCAAGGTGGCTTCTCCAAGCTCACCGTCTCCAGTTACCCCAGCAAAGCAGAGGAGGAACAGAAGTGTTCTCACATTACTCAAGGAACCAGGCCATCAGAAAGGCAAACGAGGTAGTTCCATGTTGGAATGCAAAAATAGGGGCATCCTAACTTCCCCAGCAAAATCTCTACCCATTGACTTGACCCAGTCAGTATCTGACCACTTGAGTTCCAAGACTCAGGATCCTCCATGCCATGTGAAGAAAGAGGATGAGATCATCCTTTTACTGGATTCAGATGAAGAGCTAGAACTAGAACACAACAAAACAAAGTTGATTTCTAATGATTCCTCAGAAGAGAGGAAAGTTCTAGAAGTTAGCCCCAAGTCTTCTGAGCTGTTTTCAGTCATTGATGTTGATGAGGAGCAGGAACATTTCCAAAGCTCATTGAAGAGAGAAGCTGAGCTACAGCAGGAAGAGGTAGAGGGACAGCAGGAGAATCAGGCTGTTCTGGGGAGCAGAGGGATCCCCTGGCTGTTCTGCAACCAGAACAGCCCAGATGAGGATAGCACCACAGACACCTCCTGGCTGGTGCCTGCCACCCCACTGGCCAGCAGGAGCCGTGACTGCTCGGCACAGACCCAAATCACAAGCCTCAGGACCAGGACTCTGGGGGATGAGACTGCTCATCTCACACCCAGGGCTTCCTTAGAGCACTGGAGAATGCAGGAAGCAGCCCAGAAATTCTCAGTTATCATGCCACAAGCATTGCCTGTTGTTCCAGGAACGTCTGACAGTGGAAGGCAGGCCTACAGAAGCCCTTCCCATCCCTATTCCAGGTGCCACAAGCTCTCTTCTCCACAGCCATCATGTCCTCTTCCTGATTTAACCAGGCGGTCCCAGAAACTCTTACCACCTGGGCCATGTCTGTCAAATCAGGCTGCAGCCGATGAAGTGGTAGAAGTTGGGGACAGTGACGATGAGCAGGAGATGGCTTCCCATCAGGAAAATGGCAGCTCCCTTCTGGATGGTGACCTCCCAGTTCCCATGGGCAACTGCTGTTGGCATGTTGAGCCCCTCTCCCCAATTCCAATTGACCACTTGAACCTGGAGCGGACTGGTCCCCTAAGCACCAGCAGTCCCAGCAGCCAGGCCCAGGAGGCTCTGTATGATAGTAACTGCCACTCCCCAGGACTCCTGGGCACCACCCCCATCCAGGGAAGTTGTGCTGCCCAGAGAGATTCTCAAGAGCAATCCCCACAAGCCAGCTCCCCAGGGAACAGCAAGCTAAGCTTCCTGAATCCAGCTCTGTGGGATGACTGGAACGAGGACGATCAGAACTCTCCAGAGGCGGCTCCTGCAGCCCAGACTCCAAGTGCCAGAGCTCAGAAACCAGAAGGGCCAGAGACACCAAGTGAGTGGCCTTGAGACCTGGGAGAGATCTTGTCCTATACTGTTTACACTAATGGGAACATGGAGGTCAGGAGTGAAAAGCTGAACTAACAGTGCTGAAGGCCTTGCTCACCTGGGCAAGACCCTTCCATTGTCCATTATACAGACCTTCCTGTATAATGAAGGGAGAGTGGCTTGCTCCCCTAACATACACTTCATAACCATTCTGTCAGTGTTTCCTAAACCTGCTTGGATCCCAACTAATGTACTTGTTAAAACTTCCTATCTGTGGTCCTCCCTCCAGAACACTGACCCAGCACCAGAGGTGCATATTATATGTGGTTGGGGAGATAGCTCAGGCAGTAAAGTGCTTACTGTGCAGACATGAGGACCTGGCTTTGGTAACATGCATTTTTAATCCAACTTTGGGGAGGCAGAGACAAGAGCATCCACTGGGGTTTGCATAGGAGAATTGGCAGGCAAACCCTAGTTTCTAGGGAAAGACCCTGTCTCAAAAAACAAGGTAGATAACTCCTGAGGAACAGCATCCAGTATTGACATCTGGCCTCCACACACACACATGCATGCATGCATGCACCTGCACATCCACATGTTGTGCACACACACAATTGTAATTGCATAGAACCCAGCAATTCCTCATTCACTATGTATCCAAAAGAACTGAAAACAGATTCAAACAGATAATTGTTTGAGCAGCACTACTCAAAATAGCCATAAGATGTCCTCCAACGGACAAATGGGTAAACAGAATGTGGCTTGTCTACACAGTAGGCTGTTACTTAGCCATAAAAAGGAATGGGGTGTTGATTGGCCTGTGCTCTGTGGATGAATGTTGAAATCTTGTTAGGTTGCAGAAGCTAGACATAAAACATCACTTTATATAATTTGTTTCTATGAAATGTATAGACTAGGTAAACCAGAGTGATACAACACAGATTGAGGAGTCCTGGGGCTGAGGGAGGCAGTATGAGAGTGACTGCTTATTGGGTGCAATGTTTCTTTTGTCTTGGAAGTAGGTAGAGCTGGTGATTACCCATCCTTGTGAATACTAAATGGCACTGCACTCTTCACTTTAAATTTTTATATGAATTTCACATTAATTTAGAAAAATGGGCTATGCTGTAGTTCAGCAGTACAATATAATGATGGATTCCATCCCTAGCACCACAAACTTAAAAACACAAATGAGGGAAGTGTGGGAGATTGTGCTGCATGCTTCTTGTCTCCCAAGTGCAGAGGTCACTTCCAGCTCATTTCAGGCATTCAGGAAGACTTCAAAGTTAAAAGCCACTGCTCCTGCCGGGTATGATGGTGCAGGCCTTTAATCCCAGCACTTGGGAGGCAGAGGCAGGCGTATCTCTGTAAGTTCAAAGCCAGCCTGGTCTACATAGTGAGTTCCAGGATAGCTGGGGCTACAGGATGACCCTGTCTCAAAAAGACCAAAAAAAAAAAAAAAAAAAAAGCCACTGCTCCCTAGCACAGGGAAGCGAGGACAGTGTCTGCAGGCTTGGTGCCTTCAGAATCACCTGAGAGCTTCCTAAAACCCAGGCCTCAACCCCATGCCCTAGTGGTTCTGCTCTAGGAGGCTCAGTACCTAGAATTTGCATTTAGTACCAGTTCCCACACTATGCTCGGAGAACAACTACAAGAGACTTGAGACTGAGTTCTTTGGTCATTCTGAGGTAGGCTTCGAGGACTTGAAGGCAAAAATCTGAAATGATAGGAGACAGTTTCAAAGGGCTGCATGGTCATGGTCATTAAAAATGATAAAAACTATATCTTTTGGGGGGGGGCTTTTGAAACAGGTCTCCCTGTAGCCCCAGCTAGCCCTGGCTGGGCTGGAACTTACCGTGTAGCCCAGGCTGACCTTGAACTCACAGATACCCACCTACATCTGCCTTCTAAATGCTGGGATAGGATTAAAAGTGTATGCCATCACACCAAGCTGGGGTTTTTGTTTTGTTTTTTGTTCTGTTTTGTTTTGCTTTTTAATACAGGGTTTCATTCTGTGGCTCTTGAATGTGCACTAAACCCCCTGTCTCAGCTTCCAACTTGCCAGAATTACTGGTGGCATTCCCATCCCTGCTTGTTTTGTTTAGGACTATAGGTTGGAGTGGAGGAGTCACTTAGTTTGTTGACAAAATCAAGTCTCAAATAAATAAATGAGGAGCTGGAGAGATAGCTCAGCAGTTAAGAACACTGGTTGTTCTTGCAGAAGACCCGAGTTTGAATCCCAGCACCCACATGGCATCTAACAACTGTCTGTAACTCCAGTTCCAAGGGATCTGATGGCCTCTTCTGCCCTCCACAGGCATTGCATGACACGGGTGCACTTACTTACATGCAGACAATACACCATACACATAAAATAAAAATAATAAATAAAACATTTAAAAAAAATAAATGAGCTGGGCGTGGTGACGCACGCCTTTAATCCCAGCACTTGGGAGGCAGAGGCAGGTGGATCTCTGTGTACATAGTGAGTTCCAGGACAGCTGGGGCTACAGGGAAACCCTGTCTCAAAAAGACATAAATAAATAAATAAATAAATAAATAAATAAATAAATAAATGTTTTTTAAAAGCAAGAGCTTCATTGACATATAACTCCTATACCATAAAATTCACCCTTTTAAAGTGTACAGCTCAGTGATTTTTAGTATATTCACACCCATGGTATAACCATTACCACTGAGTTCCAGACATTTCTACTCCATACCCTTTCTCAAGCACTCCTGGCAGCCCTTGGCGGCTGTTGCTCTACTTTCTATAGATATGTTTTGTAACTGAATTCTTTTACTTAACATAAGGTTTTCAATGTTCATGTTTCATTCCTTATTATGCCTGAAAGCTGTAGCATTGTACGAATATGTGACATTTTGTTCATCCATTCATCCATTAGTTGCAGCTTCTTGGTTATTACAAATAACCCTGCTGATGAGCATTCATGTACAAGTTTTTATGTGGACGCACATTTTCACTTCTGGTATACTTAGGGCCAAGATTGCTGGATCATATGATAGCTATGTTTAGTATATTGAGGAGCTTCCAGACTGTTTTCCCAAGTTGCTGTTCCAGTTTCCAACACCACCAAGTACATGTCAGTGTTCCTCTTTCTCCCCATCCTGCCAACATGTATTATTTTCTGCATTTTTTCATCCTGGTAGCTATGAAGTAGTAATTCAATGTCTCGGTTTTTTGAGACAGGAGCTCACTATGTAGCCTGGCTGGCCTGGAACTTGCTCTATGGACTAGGTTGGCCTCAAAATCGCAGATATCTACCCCCTTTTGCCTCCTGAGTGCTGAGATTAAAGGCGTGTGCCGCCATGCCCAGCCTCAGTGTATTTTTGTTTGACGTATCTATCTGATGGCTCATAATAATTCTGAACGTCTTTTCATGTACTTCGTTCGTAGCCATTGTGTATCTTCTTTGGGGAAATGCTTGCTCTGATCCTTTGCTATTTTTAATTGTCCTTTTTTATGGGCGTGCGGGGATCTCGGGGCGCCAGCTGCTAGCGTGGCGCCAGTCTCCTGCGCGCACCTGGGAAGCGGTGAGTCCCGGGGCTCGTCTGCTCTGTGTTGCTGGTGGGTCCCTGCTTCTCTGCGTCTCTGTGGGTCTCTGCTACCGGGGCTGGCCCGGTCGAGTTCGGCCCCAATTTCACCCGTGCACTCTCTCTCTAAGTTCGGGACCTGTCAGCTGCCGGGTCAGGAGGAGGGGTGCGGGACGGCTAAAGCTGGATTTCCGTAAGTCGATGACGGAAGGATAGCGCCCCCTGGGGAGGCTGGATCGTAGGCAGTAAGACACAGAACTCAGCTCAGTCAGTGGTACAGCCCCTTTATTCAGTGACTTAGCTCGGCTCCAAGTCTCGGTGATCCAACTCCGATTATTGAGGGGAAACCAGGATATTTTATACTATGGGGGTGGTAGTAAAAACCTTAGCTGATAGGTACTCCTGGAATGCTTCATTTACATAGGGCGGTGGGCTTCTATCAGGCTATCAGACAACGCCTGATTAAAACCTGGTAGCTCCTGTGCCGGAGGGCATGTATCTTGTGACGGGCATTTCAAAAGTAAGTCAAGGAGGAGAGCAGAAGGCGCCCCACTGAGAAGGGGAGTCTCCCCAATAGCGCCGAGCCAGCTTGTGGCTATCCGGACATGAGGAGACTGCTACCCTAAACAGCAGGGGTCCCCAACACTTTTTTCTCATTTATCTGTTTTGTGTATGTGTGCACATGTGCACTCTGCAACAGCACCTGTGTAGAGATCAGAGGACAACTTTCAGGAGTTGGTCCTCTCCTTCTACTATGTGGGTTCCAGGGATCAAACTTAAGTCATCAGGCTTGGCAGTAAGCACCCTTATTCACTGAGCCATCTTGCCAGCCTACGTTGTTTTTTTATTGTTAAACTAAAAAGTTCTTATGTCTAAGCCTACTTGAAGAGTGTCATTGTTGCCCATTGTCTGATGTTGTCACAGTATATTGACAGTAACAACATCAGGTTTCATTGTCATGTGCTGGGTTATTGGGCTAAATAGCCCCAGGTGTCTACTCACCAGCCATCTGTTTTGTACATGGCATGGCTCTTCACGATTGCCATATATCACAATGGAAAGATACAACTCCAAATGGTAAAGGGTGGCCATTACTGCTCTGATGAGGCACAGTGTTGACTGGGATCTATCAGTGCTTTATTTCTCTTGGTACCACTTCCGGGGCAGGAAATGGTAGCAAATTCACACCCTTCACACTGAGGCATGTACTTGTGTTTTATCCAGAAGGTGCTAACAGGAAAAAGAACTTGCCCCCCAAAGTGCCTATAACTCCAATGCCAAGGTATTCCATCATGGAGACTCCAGTACTGAAGAAAGAACTGGACAGGTTGGTGGTGGTCTTCTGGGCTTTCTTGTGTGTGATCACCTGTATATACCCAGGCTCAGCAAGCCTGGAAGTGAAGGATCCAGCCCCTGGCTCTTCAGGTCTGGTGCTGCGAGGGAAGTTCTGCAGAGGGTGTGGCTGCTAGGGGCAGGGTGGATGGCTGAGCTCTTCACACTGTTCCCAGATTTGGGTCCCAAGAAACAAACCAATAAGATTTCTGTGGGTTATTCATCAGGTAACAGGTTTCTGTGTTCTACACTGGTGGAAATGGGAACCTATCCATACCATCTGAGTGGTATTTTCATTTTCTAAAAGAATTTGAAAACTTATCATGTCCCAGCAAATGCTGCTCTTCATTTTGGGCACTTGAGGGAGTCACTACTTCCACCACTGTGCAGAACACTATGGAAACATCTGTGGAATGGATATCCTTTAGGTCAAGCTTAGTTAGCATGCAGACAGATACTCAGTTTTGAATGCTCCTGAAAGTCAGGCATCTAACGTTTTGATACCATGAAGGCACACATTTACTCTTTGCTGACATACCAAAGTAGCACAGAGTATGTAGACAGAACTGCAATGTTGGACCCTGAAGTTGACCTATTTCTGCATGCAGGTTTGGAGTCCGTGCTCTGCCCAAACGCCAGATGATTCTAAAACTGAAGGAGATTTTCCAGTACACTCACCAGACCCTGGAGTCAGACTCTGAAGATGAGATCCAGTCCTCCCAGGTGTCCCCAGGAGTCCCTTGCAGCCAAGCCCCTGCCATCAAGTCCAACAAGCGATCAAGGTCAGGAGGTTACACCCAGCTCAAGACCACTGCAGGTCTTGGCACTCAAAGGTCCAAGGGTTCCACTAAGACCAAGGGCCCTCAACATCGAAAGAAGCAGCTCAGTGAAAGCATCCCCCACCCAAGCAGGTCACCAGCTGGGGAGCCACCTCCAGACCCTAATGGCAATGCCCAGCTCCCAGCCTTCCAAGAATCCATCGCTGCCTCTGTGGATGGCAGTGACAGCTCCTTTGGCTCTCAAAGGTAATGAGTGGGAACAGCGGGGTCAGTTACATCATGGGTCCTCTGGGCAGTGGGTCTGAGAGCAGTCATTGATGAGGCCGAATGACCAAGTCCAAAAGCCCATTGACTTCTGGGCTTCTCTGTAGGAAGCCCAGGTGGTTTAAAGGTTCATTCCTTGGCCCCACTGCAGGCCTTTAAAACCCTGTTCCTTCCCCACATGCCTGGGTGTTCTTGGCTGAGGGGGGATCTCACTCAGGCTGGCACATCTAGGGAACCCAAGAACCAGAAAGGCCTGTGGGACACCCATCATGGAGTCCTGTCACCCTGGGGGTCATCATTGCCACATACTAGCCCCACAGAACCATGAAAACACATGTCTTCCCTCAAAGAGGCTCCTAGTCTTGGGGGCTGGAGAGAAAGGGTGTCACAGAACATCTGTTCTTTTCAGCTCCTCCTGTGAGTTTGGAGCTGCCTTGGAGTCTGCAGGTGAAGACAAGGAGGGTGAAGAAGGGGTCGGTGCATCACAGGCAGCCATCCAGGCAGCCAACACAGAGGAGACAGTGAGACGCTATATCTGCTCCAAGCCAGCCCTGTACCGCAAGGTACTGATGTACCAGCCCCTCGAGCTAGCTGAGTTACAGGCTGAACTGAAACAGGATGGCATCCACGTGGCCATGGGCAAGCTGCTGGACATCCTGGATGCTCAGTGCATCACCTTCACGACTGCAGCAGCCAGAAAGGAGAAGCTGAAGCAGAAGAGGCGGCAGCACTTCGGCCGAAAGAAAAAGGGAAGGGAATGACAGGCCCCACCCTACTAGCCACCTGCCAGAGGACCTGAGCACCTAGTGCAAATCAGGCCTCCATAATCATCTCTGCCTTGGGACCTCAGCCTGTGTCTGTGGAAAGGACAACAGCCCACTCATCCTTCTCTGGCTTCCAGCAGCTGGTCATGTCACTCAATGAATTCAGAGCCAGACCCCTCCTTTTTTTTGCCCCAGCAGGGTTCTCACCTGTGTCTTCCTGAGAGGCAGTGTACCACACAGCTGGCCAGGGCAAGGCCTGATGCTTCCCCACCTGTCATTCTGTGTCCATTACACCCAAGCACAACTGCCCCATGAGGTGTTCTGAGACGGGCATCAGGTCCAGCCTGCCTTCCCAACACTCAAACCAATCCCAGCCACACAGCAGTCCAGGCCTTCATGGGCTTCCTGTACCACCACAGCACAGGTGCTCTTCTGACCCAGTGCCTGCCCAGATATTTATCACTGTCACCAGCATCCTCCAAGCAGGACCGCGAATAAGGGCCCAGCCCAACTCTGAAGACACCCCCCTCCAAGCAAGCATGCTCTTTGCAGGCTCTACGTACATGTGGTAAAGCCTCCTTGACTCCACAGCCATGTGGGCCCTGGGGAGGGCCAGAGAAGAAAAAAGTTTGGGTCTCCATGGCCTGTGAATGTCCTTATCTGTTTTAAATACAGTGTGGTTGGTTTTATATGATGTGCAATAAAAACAAAGAAGGCTTTATAGATGCTACTCCAGAAAAGTCATGAGGGATACACTCTGAGCTTGAGCCCCACTGCCCTCCTGCCTACATGCTTTGGAGCCTTTGCACCTGTTCTTATCTCAGGGGTGCCAGGCCTAGGCTTGCCATTTCTCCACTTAACCTTTGGCTCCTAGATAACAGACACAGGTATTCATTTATTCCTGCTTTCACACTCACCTTTTCTATGTCTATTTTTTATTTTAAATTTTTTTATTTTTATTTTATGTGTACGAGTGTATTGCCTGCATATATATGTAGGCACACCTGTGTCATGCAATGCCTGCAGAGGTCAGAAGAGAATGTCAGATTCCCCTGGAACGGGAGTTGCAGATGGTTGTTAGCTGCCATGTGAGTGCTAGGAATCAAACCCAGGTCCTCTGCAAGAACTGGCTCGTAACCACTGAGTCGTCTCTCCAGCCCCCTGTGTCTACTCTTAATGGTGCTCTCAGGCACTAAGCTCCAGCTACCACCACTCAGGGAAGCAGATCAGGGACACAGACCTAGCCTCACCTGGATTGACAAGAGTCAGGCTTATCACTGCTGGACCTACGGAGTCAGCCTGCTTGTTAGCAGGATGGGTGTACAGCAGTGATCTGGAGTCCATGCTGGGCCATGCGGAGAGGTCAGACAGCCATCCTTTTAGGAGTCGGGACTATGGCTCAGTGGTAGAGCACATACCTAGCATGCCTGAGGCTCTGGTTCACTTCCCAGCACTGCAACAAGAAAAGTTTCCCTGAGCCTTCAGGGGAACCTCAATGACAGCTTCCTGGAAAATCTGTGACCCAACCTTAGAGGTTAATAACATTTAGGGAGGTGGAAATGGAGCTTCGTGTTCTGATTGTGACCAGGCAGAGGAGGCAGCCCCGGCCTCTGATGCCTGGGCAGGCAGAAGCTGAGTACTCAGGATGAGCTTCAGGCAAGCTGAAGAGGGATTTTAGTAGATTTTAAAGGTGTCGTATTCCTCCCATGAAGGACTTGATGGACTGTTTTAGGGAAATGAGGTGGAGTTGTCAAGACAAGTGACAATTCTTAACAGCTCAACAGGGTTTACGATTTGGGTATGCCCCTCCCTAGTGAGAGGCTAGGAACCCCTCCTGTCCTCAGAAGAGGTCCATGACCCACAAGAAGTTAAGACCCTCTAGGTTTCCCATATTAGGGAAGAGTTTAGAATAGTTAGAAAGCCAGGTTAAGAGCTTTCAAGTGACCAAAAAGTAGGGACAGGAGCTGGTGATTGAGTCAGCCTCACCCTGACCTTGTCAGACTGGGTCTACTTCATCCTGGCAGCCAGCAGGGCTAAGTGGTAGGCTGAGGCTATGTATTTTGTGACCAGCCAAAGGACAGAGTCCTGGAACCCTAAACCTGATGTACAGCAGCATTCACTTGTCCTAAAACAACTGTTAAACAGTTGCTGCTTCCAAAGGAAAGCTGTTAAAATGGACCATTGCAGTGACAGCTTGGCCCCCATCAGAGGCAGGGGCAGGGGAGCAGGAAAGAAAACCTGTACGTTCCCACAGAAACCATGGGTTCCAGCATCACAGCGCTGGGCTCGCAACTTGAAGAGAAAAACCAAGGCCCAGAGCTGCATTTCCCTCCAGGAAAGCTGGGTCCGTGTGGGCATAAAGACTGCTTAATGGATAAAGTGAGAGGGAATTCCCTTCCAGAAGCAACCCTGCCTCCGTATGGGGGATTAGCACAAGAATGCACTGAGCCAGCCCCCACAACAGCATTCACTAGACATAACAGCAAACATTCACTGTAATGTGACCACACCTCCAGCCTGTCCATTTCCTGTGGCCCAGCCTTCACCATGGCCTACGCTTGACTCAAAGCAATTTAATTGAACCAGAGTCCAACTTGGATAGATGGCCACGGGCCCAGGCAAGGAGCTCCAGGGAAAGGCCCCTGGCCTGTGGCAGGAAGCCTCACACTTCCAGATTTAGGAAGAATGAGACCACTGCCTGTCTTGCTTCCTGGCTCTTGGGGGACAGAAAGCCCCTGAGCAAAGATGACCCTGGAGAGACATACACATATTACCAAATCCCCTTGGGAGCCAGAATAGCCCATGTATGGGATGATAGTCATTCCTGGGGGATAGGGAGGGAGCTGACTCTGGGATGCCTCCTACGATCCTCAAAAATGAGGCTGTTTCCTCTCCTGCTGAGCCTCTGGAGGGGGCAGGGCAAAACTCTAGGGCCTCTTTCATGTGACAGACCCACCAGGCCCCTGTGGTTTCTAACATCCTGTAGGCGCAGAATTTCAGGCACCTTTGCTGCACCCCTTAGCTGAGACTATAGCCACCGGTTCTATGCTGTCTGCTGGGAGCAGGCTTCTCATCAGGCTTCTCAAGGGCCACTGTGTCCTCCCAGTTCCTGTGTGTCAGAGAGAGGAGAGAGGGAAGAAGATGGAAGGGAAAGTATCCTAAAACAGCATTTCAACCTGCAACCTGAGTCCCTACCCTCACACTGGGGAATGAATGAGTAATAGCCACAGGTGCCTGGCACGTCCTTGTACACAGGCTGCTGAAAGCATCTGAACCCAGTAAACTTCCTGATCTATAACTCCCATGTGCTTGCTGAGAAAAATTCAGACCCACGGCCCTTGTCATCTACTTGCCTCAATGGTTTCATATTAAATGACTTTCTCCCTGTCTCTAGATATTCTATACAATTCCTTTACTGTAACTTATTTTTTCACTTAAAACCATGCATTTGCCCCACCTTCCTTTCAGTGCAGAGCATCTGCTGAGGCCCACCTCCAAGGACAGAGAGTAACCTGCGTTTTATGAATAGCTCCATTCTGCTGTGTCAGGATTCAGATGACCTATCTGTGGGGGCCCACTGACTCACAGGAAGACATTGTGGAGTAGAGTGGGGTCAGAAGTGCCTGTTAAATGAAAAGGAAGAGTGCTAGAAAAACCTGGAAGTGTCAGGACATTCCAGCCCCACTAGCTGTCTTTCAGCTGTGCAACCTCAGGCCAGGCGCTGACTTCCTCCCTGCTCACTTGGTTGCCCCACCACCCACCTAAAAACTACCACCCACTGATGGAGTCTCTTCCTTTTTGGTGAGTGGAGGGTGATTTGTCAATGGTTTTGGCACTGTACCACCTTCGGCGCATCATGTCCTCAGGGAACTCAGTCCCAGAATTGAGACCACAACATCTCCCCACCCTTTAGAATTACGGGGGCAGTGACAAAACCAGAGAGGTGATCCTAGGGCCACCATGCTCATTGATTTGTCTGTGAGGCTGTTGGCTTTCAAAATCAGACAGGAAGGAAGGTTGAGGTGGAGCCTTGCACAGGAAGAGGTGAGCCAGAGCTGCAGTGACAGCCGGTGGGCTTATTGGAGACTACAGGAGGTGGCAGGTCTGTCATTCCTTTCCCAAGTGTGGTCAGCTTGGTAATCACCCCTGATCCCTTCAGAGCAGGCTTCCTCAACCTTGGATATCCCAAGGCCTCACTCAGATTCAGCTGGCCCGCCACAGTCTACTCAAGGCATCCCACCACCACCACTGCTTCCTGCTTACTAGAGCAGGGCTGAGCCCAGGAGCAGACAAATGGAGCCCCCCGGGCATCCATCCTTACCATCACTGGAGCAACAATAAAGCCAGAGGTAAGTAGGGTCCCAAGCACCTCTGAGGGAGTAGAGGAGAAAGAAAGAAGAGTTGGTAGGAGGGATGGTGACTCTTAAGGCCTGAGCTATTCCGAGCATGGGGAGACTCCAGGAAGTTGTCCCCTGGGTGCTGGCAGTCGCTGGGCCTGAATGGTTCAGTGTAGAATGGAGCCCAAGGATGGCCCAGGACCATTCCCAGGGAAGAAAGCCCAGTTCCCCCTTCTAGTGATGGCATGGGAGGGGCACGATACACTGTAGGCTTTAGCAGAGGGGCAGCAGTGATGTTGAAACTCCGCTCCTTTCGGGCTACAGACCACTATCAGACAACCTGCTTCTTGGAACTCAGTTCAGTAACAACTCCAGAACCTGCCCCAAAGGTCAAATGAGGCGGTCATGCAGCTTCAGGTCCAGCCCACAGCTTCTGCCCCATAAATGCCCTCTACCCCAGGGCCACTCCCAGTCACACCCTGGGGTAAGCTGAGATTTGTTATTCTGAGAGTGGTAACCATTAGAGAGGCCTCTAGAAAGAGGCTGCAGAGCCAGGTGGGTGTTAGACATATGGAGTGTTGGCTGTGGTGCCACACCATGGACAGACTCCTGGACCTTGAGGCTCCTCTTAGTCCCCTCCCTAGAGGCCCATGCTTCCCTGAGCCCAGGGCTCACCTTAGTCACCTCACACTGCAAGCTGGCACACCCCCCTTCTCTCAGCAGTAAGGGGCTCCAGGACTGGATCTGTGCTCATGCTGGGATTCCAGGTCCTGCAGACAGGTGCTACTTCCTCCTCCCTTCAGAAATACTGATCTCAGAAGCCAGGTAGCTGCAGTGGTGCTAGCCAGGCCTGGGGAGGGAGATGAGAGTGAGGAGCCAAGAATATGGAGAACCTGAGGCCCTGTGGCCAGAAATATTGGCAGCCCAGGAGGCAGCCATCACAGAAAACCTTACCCAGTTCTTAAGCCAAGGTGGGCAGGGTAGGCCAGCCATTTGGAAAGGGACTCAGCAGGCTCAGACCAGAACTAGGACCCTGGGAGGGAAACATGAGACAAGATGGGCTCCACTAAACATAATTCTCTGCTAGAGCCAAGAGGCACTGATCTGGGACCTTTCTACTACAAGGTTCCCTTATCCTTTTGGTCAGCAGCAGCAGTCGAGTGTCACCTGGTGAGCATCCAATTATAGGAGACTGTCCAGTCCTGGTCCACGCCCTGACAATACCCTACCAGAGAGTAGGACAGAGGCTCCAGCATCCTGGCCTTTGACACTGACAGGCTGGCATTGCACAGCTTCATTTGATTTACCTACATTTAGTTGCTAGCTTTGTTATTTAAAATTTTAAGATGTAATTTACATGTACTATGGTGAGCTTTGTGTTCATGTTCATACCACCATTTAGATCAATGCATTAAATCTCCAGTACCCAAGGGGTCGCTCATGCCCCCTCCCAGTCAGAAGCAGCCCCAAGTGATTCTTTAGACGCCTATCATTTCTGACTGATTTGGGCTGATTTTAAGCTCTCTATAAATGGAATCCTAGAGCATATTCCTTCATGGCAAACCATGAGAACATCCATTCAGTGGATTTTGTCAGCAGTTTGTAACTGTTTCGTGTCCCCCAAATTTCCCATGCTATTGTTAATGAATATTGGCTGGTTTTACTATTTTGGTTAATTATGAATAAAGCTATTAAGAACATTCTAGTACCTGTGCCTTGGTGGCAATAAATGCTTATTTCTTCTGGGGCTCTGGAGGGGAACTGCTGGCTACAGAGAGTATGCAATCTTTAGCTTTATCTCTACCAAAAAATTTCCAAAGAGGTTTTAATTTACGTTCCACCAACAATACAATTAATGATATTCCTTTTTGGTTATGTATATGTTAAGTTTCTTGGCTCACTTTTTAGGACAAGTATTTTTTTATTATTTTTTATTTCATGATCTTTCTGCCTCAGCTCTCTAAGTACTAGAATTACAAGCATGCACCACCATGCCCATCTTTGGCTCGTTTTTTAATTGAGCTGCTTTTCCTTATCAATTTGTAACTATTTTTATATTGGTCTAGTCTGGTTTTCTTGTTCACCTTATTAATATTGCCTTTAATTAACAGACATTTCCTAATTTTTGTGAATCTGAATTTTTGAAAACTGAATTTTTGTTCAGTTTTGTATTCTGTGATGCTAGAGATCAAAACCATGGTCTTTCTCATGTTAAGCAAGCACTATATCACTGAGCCGCATCCCCATCCCTTGTTTTTTAAAGACAGGGTCACACTATGTAGCTGAATTTGGTCTGAGACTTACTTTTAACCAGGCTGGACTGGAAGTCAACAATCTTCCTGCTTCTGCTTTCCAAGTACTAGAATTACAGATGGAGGTACCCAACTACACCTGGCTTAGTCTGTCTTATGGTGAATATTTATCTAGCAGTGCTGGGATTGAACCCAGAGCCCTGCCCATGGTAGGGAAGTGCTGTAACACTGAGCTACATCCTTAACCTGGGAACTGTGTTGCAGGGGAGTGTCCTGTTTCTGTACTCTACTACTACATTTGTTCATGTGCTAAGAGCTATCATTCATTCCACATTGTTTTAATAGTCTAGCATGAGTCCTCCAACTTTGTTCTTTTTCAAAACTGTTTAGGCTAAGTTTCCTCATTTGTTTTAGAATCAGCTTACCAAATTTTACTCTGTCTTCCTCAAAAATGTCTGCTGGAAGCCAGGCATAGTGGTGCATGCCTTTAGTTCCAGCACTCAGGAGGCAGAAGCAGGTGGGTTTCTGTGAGTTCAAGGTCAGCATAGTAAGTTCCAGTTTAGTGGGGGCTACAGTGAGATCCTATCTCAAAAAACAAAACAACAATAAGCTTGCTGGAGGGAGGGGGCACTGTAGAAATATCTCAGCAGTCAGGACTGGAGAGATGGCTCAGCAGTTAAGAGCACTGGTAGCTCTTGCAGAGGACCTGGGTTTAATTCCCAGCATCCACATGATGACTAACAACCATCTGTAATCCCATTTCCAGGGGATCCAACACTCTCCTCTGACCTCCTCAGGCACTGCATGACACGAGTGCTCTTATATACATGCAGGCAATACACTCATACACAAAAGAATACAAATAATAAAATGTTAAAAAATATCTCAGCAATTAAGAGTGTGTACTGCTCTACCTGAAGACCCAGCTTTGGATGCCAGTACCCACTTCAGGTGGCTCACAACTGCCTATAATTTCAGTTCCAGGGGCTCTGATACCATCTCTCTTCTGGCCCTGTATCCCCAGCTGACCTGAAACTCACTATGTAGACCAGGCTGGCCTTGAACTCACAGAGATCCGCCTGTCTCTGCCTCCCGAGTGCTGGAATTAAAGGCATGTGCCACCATGCCCGGCTTTACAATAAAAATAATTTTTAAAAAACCTTTAAAAATGTGTTTGCTGGAATTTTTATTGTGATGTCACAGAACTACAGATTAATGAATTTTGTCCCTTTGAGAATTTACATCTTAATACTATTGAACCTTCTAATCATGAATCTAAAAGAAGCCAATTTCTTCATCAGGTGCTTTTTATTTCCTTCGGTAATGTTTTATAGCTTTTAGCGTAGAGGTTTCACATATTTTTTGCTAAATTTATTCCTAGATATTTGATTTTTATGATATCTTAAACTTTCAGTTTGGGGGTTGGAGAGATAGCTAAGTAGCTAAGTGATTAAGAGCACTGGCTGCTCTTGTAGAGGACCCAGGTTCAGTTCCCAGTGCCCACATGATGGTTAATAATTCTCTGTAACTCCAGTTCCAGGGGCTCTGACACCTTATTCTTGCCTCTTTGGGCATTGCACGCATGCAGTGCACTTGCATGCAGGCAAAAACACTCATAAACAGGCTGGAGAGATGGCTCAGCGGTTAAGAACACTTGTTCTTGCAGAAGACCTGGGTTCAAGTCCCAGCACCCACATGGCAGCTAACAACTGTCTGTGACTCCAGTCCCAGGGGATCCGAGAGCCTTTTCTGACCTCTGCGGGCATTATACGACATGGGTGCACTTACCTACATTCAGGCAATACATGCATACACATAAAATTAAAATAATAAAAAAACACTCATAAACACAAAATAAAAATAAAAATTTCAGTTTCAATTTGATTGTTTCTCATAATCAGAAACATAATGGATTCCTTGTATGTACTGATCTGGTGTCCAAAAAAACCTTACTAAATTCATACATTAATTATAATTCTAAATTTTTTGAATTTTCTATGTAAATCATACCTATGAATGCTGAGAATTTTTTTCAAAATCTTGATATTTTCTTTTATATGTATGTGTCCAATCACTCTGTCACCTTAATTTTTAAATTTAATTGTGTGTATGTGTTTATGTGTGTCTGTGTATGTGTGTGTGTCTGTGTGTGTGTGTGTGTGTGTGTGTGTGTGCATGCACAAATGTGTCATGGCATGCATATAGAAGTCAGAAGGCAACTTTTAGAAATCAATTCCACCTAGATGGAAATCATGTTGTCAAGTTTGTGTAGAAAGCACTTTTTCCCACTGAGCCATCTCCCCAGCTCCATCTTAATTTTTTTTTTTTTGTTTTTGTCTTTTTGAGACAGGGTCTCCCTGTAACCTCAACTGACTTGGAACTTGCTATGTAGACCAGGCTGGCTTCGAACTCACAGAGATCTGCCTGCCTCTGCCTCCCAGGTGCTGGGATTAAAGGTATGCGCCACCATGCCCAGCTTCCCATCTTAATTTTTAAAAAACCTAACTATTGACCAAAATATATCAGGATGGAATGGAATAGAAGTAATTATACTACATCTTTGTATTATTTAAATATTTTGATGACCATGTATTACTTTTTTTAAACAAATTTTTAAAAATTTATTTTTATTTTATGTATATGAGTGTATTACCTGCATGTATGTGAGTGCACCCGTGTCGTGCAATGCCATGGAGGTCAGAAGAGGGCTTTGGATTCCCCTGGAACTGGAGTTAAGGACAGTTTATAGCCATGTGGGTGCTGGGAATCGAACCTGGGTCCTCTGCAAGAGCAGTCAGTTCTCCTAACCACTGAGCCATCTCTCCAGCCCCTGAACATGTATTACTTTTATAATTCTGTAGGTAATCTACTGAAGTGCAAGAAAGAAGCAATGTTTGTTAGCAAAATTTGAGAAAATGAAACTCATAAAATAAGAAATAGCTCCTTAATTCCACTATTACATATTTTAGCTTTTTCCTGTAGCTAGACCAAAATGGTATCCTATAATAATTGTGTTGTTATTTTTTAATTAATTAATTTATTTATGTGTGTTTCTGTGACTGTGTATGTATGTGTACATGCATGTGGGTGCCCACAGAGGCCAGAAGAGGACATCAGATCCCCTGGAATTGGAGTTACAAGTGGTCATGAGCCACTTGATGTGGGTGCTAGGAACCATTCTTGGGTCCTCTGGAAGAACAGCAAGTGCTCTTAACCCCTGGCCCATCTCTTCAGCCCCTGTATTCTATATGCAACATAAAAAGGTACTGTAGGGCTGGAGCTATATAGCTCATTGGTAGACTGCCTGCTAACAAGCTCAAGGCTCTGGGTTTAACCTCCAGCAACACACACACAAAAAAATCCTCATTTAACTATACATTCAAAATGTGTGCATTCTATTTTGTACAAATTATGCCTTAAAGAGGGTATTTAAAAACCTCTGACATTAAAAGACAAAATACAGCTGGGCATGGTGGCACACGCCTTTAATCCCAGTACTCAGGAGGCAGAGGCAGGTGGATCTCTGAGTTCAAGGCCAGTCTGGTCTACATAGTGAGCTC